CCTCACACACACACACAGACACACACGAACACAGACACTGGCATTTTGGTTTGGAGCCCCCTTTTGCTCGTCACAAAGACCTCCGTTTTGCTCTCATTTCAGTCTGCATGCTCGCCCTGTTGCCTTGCCTGCGCCCACCTTCCCCAGGGCCACGTTATTTTGTGGCTCCTTATTTAACCTCTTTGCAGTTCCCTTTCGGTTTGGTTTGGTTTCCAGCGGCTCAGACCTGCCTCCTCCTCCTCCTGCATGTCCTCTCGTGCGTTCCCATCAGTTCCTGGTTGAATAACAGGGTGTTTTATACAAAAATAAAAGAGGAAAAAAAGAAACCCCCCCTTCTATTTCCTTCTCCCACCTTGTCGTGGACTGGACCTCGACCCCCAAGCCAGACAGGAACGTGACCCTCCTGTTCTCACATGGCTTTATGTGAAGCAGAAGTAGCATGATAAGTGATGCTGCACTTTGTGTCACGCTATGGAGAGAGAGCTGTAACATCTCCAATCCCACTTGGTGATCTGGACCTCAGCTGCCTACGAAAGGGTCAATTGCTCCTAAACTTGACACTTTAACTGCTGGTTTCCCCTGAGTCTTTACCATTGCAGTCACCTTGTACGTGTTTGAGCCCTGTAAGGTTCAGTTGCTGCTTAATAGCTCCTGAGGGCCTAATGTCTTCATAAATCAGTGCAGCATTTGGGGGAATCTCCTTGCTTTTAATGGACTTCATGTTTTGTAAAATCCCCAGAACTGGAGGATATTGATGTGGAAGCCACGTGCAGGCAGTGACCCCAAAATAAGGTTCAGTGTGCATGATGCTCTGTGCAGGCTCAGCACCACAGCCTCTCTGTGTTGGGGTGCTCTGCGCCATCCCCGCTCCGGCTGGAGTCACTTTGGAGTTGGATTATGTGTTGTGTCCAGAGCTCTGTCCCTTCCTCTCCATTCAAGATTCCAGGTTTTATCTGTAATAGCAGAGAAGCCCCTCAGTCCTCCAGTTTGTGCTGTAGCTGGTGTGATGGTGCTTCCTATCTGCAAGCATCAACCAGCAGAAGGTTTGGAATCTTAACTCATGGGGCTCCACCGAGGCCATCCAGCTGCACTGGGCAGCAGCACTGGGAGGGTCATCATCAGTTAAATCACCATCCTCATCACTGCTGCTGCTGTGGTCACTGGTTACATCCAGGAGCCTCCAGTAGCAGAACAGGATCCATGTGGTTGGCACCAGTGGCTTTGTACCCAGCTGTGTCCGAAGGCTTTGCTGGATCCATCTCCCAGGGGATCTGAGCAGATACCAGAGGTGCAAAACCAGCCCCTCCAGTCCTTTGTAGCTGCTCTGGTTTTGTTCTCGTGTCCAATGCACTGTGGAATCAGCAGCTGGATGATCCCCTCTCACCTCTTGTTGTGCCATCTGTGTAAAACTTAGGGAGAAGTCTGCTTTTGTCTGTTTAACCTAGGTGGACAGTATATTATTGTCAGCCTCGTGGAACATTGGAACTGTTGCAATGCCTGTGTCGCTGCGTCGTGCTTTAGGGAGGAGCATTGGCTTTGCCTTGCCTGGGTTTTTCCTTCAAAGGGTTCACTCAAAGACCATGGACAGAGTTTTTATAGACCTGGCAACTGATTCCCAAAGCCTGGATCTGAGACCTGACTGCAGGAACTAAGCAGGCACCGTGTGTTGTACCCTCCATGTGGTGTCACCTCCATGCGTTTGTCCCGCTGCCTTGATCCCGGGTGATGACTTCTTGTGGGATTTACCTTTTGGAACGTCCAAAGGACAAAAAGATGGGTTTATAAAAACCCTGCTTGAATTGACTTCATCCTGCCCTGCAGGATCTCCTCCTCCCAGCCCTTGCTTAACGCCCTGTGACTAGAGAAGCGGCCGATTCCCGATGCTCAGAGGCGGTGTTCAGTGCGGTGTTTCCCAGCCGTCCCTTCACTTCAATGCAGTCCTTCTTTGGGTTCTGTTTTCCTGCCTGAAGTGTCAAAAAGACCTAAAAAAAAAGCCAAAATTCTATTTTAACCTGATGGCGTCGAGCACTTTTTTATCTGTGTGTGTGTGTGTTTGAGCACTGATGGCGGCATCTCCGTGTCGTGATCCCATTGCCAATGTCCAAGGTTCTGGTGTTGCCCGTTCATTGCTGGAGACGGAATTCAGCCAAAATAAAGTGCTTCCATTGGAAAGCGAATATTTGGCCTTGCAGCAACAAAAGGAAAGGCGTCTACGTATTTAAATAAACATGTAATTCCAGACATTCCGTTTCACTGGATCCTTTTGATCCCGCAGAGCAACCATGGGTTTGTTTGCTGCTGTGTTGGTGCTCCTGGCTGAGAAGGGCAGCTCAGCTGGGATGCGTTGTTTCAGCCAGGTAATAGTGGTACAGCCTGAAGTTGCTCCTTGTTACTCTGGATTATGGGATGGATGTAGGGTTTGCTTCTGGCTGTGAGACTAAGCAGAATGGCCTGTTAGTGCAGTGCTTGTACCCAGATGCTGCAGTAGGAAGAGTGACAACACTGCCATGGTGCTTGGGGGGTTGGTTTAGTCTTTATTTCATAGTATCCCCCACTGGAATTTTGGGTATTTGGAGTCTTAATTTGGCACCTTTCAGCGCCTGTCCCATGGAGCTGTTCCCATCAGGATGCTCTGAGGCATGGTTCCGTCACACTTGGTACCTCTCCAGCTGGAGAGAGTGGAGGAGTTGGGGTTTACTTCTCGATATGGTTACCTGAGGAGAAGGGCAAACGCTGCTCTGGCTGGAGGTGCTGCTGTGTGGGAAGGACGATGGCTCTTGCTTTCCAGAGCTGGAGAGCTGGGGGATGTGTTTCCTCAGTCAGTGCTAGCACCTCCTGCCTGCAGTGGGTGCTTTGGCTTCACTGGAAGGCTGAGCACGTGTTTGGATACGGACTGGTTATAAACCAGTTGTAAGCCTGGCAAACGGTGTTTGTGCTTGTGTGGGTGAATGTGTCCAGGTCTGGAATGGTCACGTTCCCCTTCACCAAGTAATGTGTAAATCCCTGTGTCTGGGAGGGGATATTTACACTGTTCATGGAGGTTGGTGAGCAGTGTGTGTCTGTAGCAGAGGCTCCGGGTGCCTTCTGTGCAGCTGCTCCATCTCCTGTTGGTCCAGTTCCTTGCAGATAGCCTCATGCAGGAGTTCAGGTTGCACCTGGCTGATAGTTCCCCTTGAATCAGCTGAATGGAGGCTTTTTCCCCTAAGGTGATGCTGCTGTTTTGGGTTTTCAACAGAATTTCACTTGCCCTTTGCCAGCTCCCATTGCCAATGCAGGACAGATGAGAGCTGCTTATGAAACAGGCCCTAGGGATAATGAAAAGGAAGGGGTGTCCCTCTGGCTCCAGCTTGATTGGTGTGGTGAACTTTAGAAACAGCAACAGCACAACCAAATGATCAAACAAGGGTGGGTTTGCACCAGTATGGCTCAGGCTGGTGATGGATGGGTCCCTGAGCTGGCTGTGTCCACACACGCATCACTGCCTGCTGTGGGAGGTTGGAAACACAGGGCTCCCATGAAGCACAGATGCAGGGCTCAGAGCTGAGTGTTTCAAGCACAGAGGGTACCAAAGCACGGGGCTGGAGCTGTCTGTGCAGACACTGACCCTCAGGGGAGGCGGCGCTGAGCATCCCCTGGACCTTGTGGGGCTGTTCCCCATTGCTGGGTGATGGCTTGGTTTGTGAGATGTGGGTCTGGACTTTGGCTCCCAGTGGCTAAAGAACAGGCTGCGTGTTCCCCTCCAGCTCTGCGCCTGCATTCAGCACCTCCGTTAACTCCCAGAGGCAGGAAGCTGCTCTCTCACAAGGGTTACAGAGACAGGGACCGCACTGGTGAGGGCACCCACCCAGGCCAGCGCAATGCAACTGCAGCAGCTTCCCCTGCCGGTCACTTTCATAGCGAGGATGCTCATGGGGAGCAGGAGGCGGCCCAAGGTGGGTAAGTGAAGGAACGAGAGGAGGAAATCCCATGGGCAGAGACTGCAAGGAGCACAGTGGCTGTGACTGAGCAGGCTCTGGCCCTGCAGGGCCTCCTGGCAGCAGGAACGCTGGATCCTTTCTTACCCTTCACTTCCTTAACACCCTGCGCTCCGCACACAAGGCAGGCACCAGTGAGCACCATGCTGAACGCACATGTATTTATTGGAACACATTTCAGCACGAAGTCTAACACGAGCACAGGAGGGTTGGGACAATCCGTACAGCATCCTCTGGAGCACACAGACCTGCAGCCCCATGGGCTCTGCTGCAGTCACACAAAGAACAGTAAGGGATCTCACCAGTGGCTCAGTCTCTGAGCTCCCCTCGGGCCTCGGCTGGGTATCCACAAGCATCCTCTGGACAGGATCAGAGCCGAACGTGCTGAGCCGTTCACAGACTCTAATTTAAAGTTGTTTGCAGAAAACATTTGGTCTAAAACATACTGATCTGAAGGCCACGTTTTGCTTTGCACCCAATCCTGCCCTACCCCCAGCCCAGCTCCGAGCCCAAGAGTGGCCTTTCCCTCCCTTGCTTTGCCATGTGAGGACCCTGGGACCCCGGAGGCCAGGCTCAGTGCTGGGGACCCATTCTGGTTCCAGCCCCATGAACACAGTTTGGGTCCTCAGTGCAGGCGAGGCCACCTCCGCCTCACTCTGCTGCCATGAACTCGCACTCAGCCGGTGGCAAAGCTCAGACCATCGCCTCCCTGGCTTATGGGGTGAACAAAGAGCGTTTAAGAGCCCTGCTGAGAAGAGTTTTGCCTTTTGCTTAGAGTGGGGGGTGAGCTGGGAGTCCTATGGGTGGCATCGGAGCTGGCCCAGCAAATCCTGCCTGTTCCTGAAGCTCAACCCCTAGGGAGGCTGCACCCCATAGCTACAGCGGTGCCAGGAGCTTTAGGAGGAGGAGTACAGAGGGAAGCTGTGGGAAGGAGGACTCGTGTCTGCCAGCTTCGCTCTCTGAAACCATGCTGAGCACATGAGATCAAGGGGAAACGCACCCCAGAGACTGCAGGGGCGAGGGGGGGAGAAGGGGCCTCTCTCAGTGTTTCTTAGTTGATTGCAACTGAATTTGCAATAATTAAATAGAGAGCAGACCCCGAAGTTGTGACAACCATGTGTGCACCCCCAGCACAGAGCTGCTGCGAGACCCTGGGGCCCGCTCAGCTTCCACTGCCAGCTTTCTCGAGCTGCAACACTGCCCGCTGGAAACTAAGTAATGCTTTGTTATCTCTGTACACGTGAGTCAAACAGAAGAGTGCCAAAAGCAAGACCTGCAAAGGAGCAGAGGCTCGGCTCACTGGGGCAAGGTGGGAGTGCTGGGTCCTGGTCAGCAAACAGCAGGGAGAGGGCTCGGGTCAGAGCGCATCCTTGTGATGCTCAGCTGCAGTCTTGCCCCACAGCTTCACCCAGAGGTGAATGAGAGAGAAGCTGCTTTTCTCCCTGTTGTGCCCAGCATCCCCCTACAGCCAAAGCCACGTGAGAGGCCGGTGGAGGGAACCTGCCTCCCCGAGACGTGGTGGTGGGAGCTGCACTCGCCTTCCAGTACCAGCCAACGGGACAGGTTTGACTCCTCGGGGTTCCCCAGCCTTCCATCCCACACGGACGTCTCTGTGCCAGCCATACCTTCCCTGCCCCAGCCCGCACAGATCACACAGCCCGCGTCTCCGCTTCGATCTTCTGCTCCCCATGCAGGTTCTCCAGTTCCTGGACCTGGGCCACGTTCTGTCTGATGGCAATCTCTGGGCCCCCTCCGTACAGCGTGCTTAAATAAATCCATGTCTCCTCAGAGATCTGCCCATAGTCAGCACCTGCAGGGACAAGGGCAGTGCTGGGCTGTGCAGGTGCACCACCACATGAGGATGAGGATGAGGATGTCCTCTCCAGCCACCTCCCCTGCACCAAGGGGTTATGCTGCCTGGGTGAGACTGAAAACTCCAAGCTGTCCTAGGAGGGACAAATGTGAGCAAAGCAGAAAGCAGGGGAAGCAGAGGACTTTGCCATAAAGGTTACTGAGGAGGAGAAAAGCAGAAAGAGCTGCTTTGAGAGGTGAGATGCAAATGCAATCTATGTGCTTGGTGGAACAGCCCAGTGGGGACAGCACAAGCAGTGCTATTTCACAAGCTGGACCACAGCAGATGCTGTGACACAATCAAAGCTGCAGTGCAGACGGGAATGGTGGAAGGGGCCTGGGGAACAGCATCAGGAAGAGATGGGGACTGCAGAATTCACTAGAACAAGTGGAGAAGAGAAGGCTGCATGGAGACCTCATAGCAGCCTTCCAGTATCCGAAGGGGGCCTATAGGGATGCTGGGGAGGGACTCTTCATTAGGGACTGTAGTGACAGGACAAGGGGTAATGGGTTAAAACTTAAACAGGGGAAGTTTAGATTGGATATAAGGAGGAAATTCTTTCCTGTTAGGGTGGTGAGGCACTGGAATGGGTTGCCCAGGGAGGTTGTGAATGCTCCATCCCTGGCAGTGTTCAAGGCCAGGTTGGACGAGGCCTTGGGTAATATGGTTTAGAGCGAGGTGTCTTTGCCCATGGCAGGGGGCTGGAACTTGATGATCTTAAGGTCCTTTCCAACCCTAACTATTCTATGATTCTAAGTGTCACCAGTGAGCTGGTCATGCAGGAGCTCCCAGTGGAGAACTGAGGTGGCTCACTCAGGACAGCCAGCACTGGGTTGTGCAGAGAGCTGTCATCCTCTGCAGCACCATCTTGCTGTGATCGCTCCACTATGGACACCCAGATCCAGCAGGACATGCTCCACCTTTAGGAACACTACAAGACAGCAAACACCAGCCTTACCCTGCTTAACTTGCACGTGGCCACCCGCTTTCGTGAGTGCAATCTTGCTGTTGTCAATGGGTCCGGGAGGCTCTGCAAGAGGACAACCACCACGTCAAACCCTCTCTGCTTTCCCCGATGCCACCAGCCTGAACATCCCCTGAACTTGATCCCTTCTTATTTCTGCCCCCTTGGGGGCCTGCAGGCAGCCCAAGGGGCTGGTGTCTGACCTCGGTTCAGCTTCAAGTCACACCAGTCAGTGCAGTGCTCACTGAGGACCTGGCAAACAGACCCGTTTCTGTTCTGCCTCTCACCCCACCAGACTCCAGAGGTCTCTGGCTTCTTACCATTATCCTTCCCCTTGACAAAGGCTTCCCACTCACGGAACCACTGCATGCTGATACAGTAGATGACACTTGGGGACTCCTCTGCCTGGAAAGCCTTGTTCAGCTGGGAGGGCAGAGAACAGAGACATGCAGGAAGGATTTAGTCACTCCTGAGATCTGGGGGAGCCCTTTCCCTTAATGGTAAGGCAGCCTGCTGTTCTTCAGAAGAACCTCATGTCATCCCACCACCTTCCCCATAACCTGCTCCTGCTCACTACAGCAGGCAGGAGACTGGGATGATTTCAACCTCGGTGTCTGCATACAGCATTGTAGCATCCCAGCTGCCCTCTGTATGCTGCTAGCACTGGGGAACCCCATGGTCCATTTCCTCACCAAGCTGTAGATGATGCTCTGGAGAACATGGGCAGGAGTTTTCCACTGTGTGTGACAGGTCTGCACTTCCCACCTCTACCCTTTGGCATTGCTTTCGGATGCCTCCCATACCAACCTTGATGAAGGTGTCGATTTCAATTCTCCTGCGTTTGGCAAGTGCTTCAATCTCCACTTGGCAAATGGAGCACACGTACAGATGGTTCACAGCAGGGCCACCCCCAAACCTGAGCACAGGAAGAGAGGGAGAGGAATGGAGATACTGCAGGAGAATGGAAATGCTTCCTAGCCCTGCATCCCACAGAGATGGATGCTTACTCCAGACACTGCTGAAGCAAGCCCATTTGGTTTAGATTTGGAGGCTCTACCAAGTGCCAGTCCTTGCCAGTCCAGACCAAGTACTGCACACCTTTGAGGTGCCCTGGGAAGCCTTTATGTCTTGGTCACTGCTAAGGTGTGAAACAAACCCCAAAACTCATTGGGAAAAAGACTGAAATGGTCAAGCCCACCTGTTGTAGAGATATTCCCACACGTTTTGGGGTAGGATCACAACCAGGTCATCGATGTAATGGTATTTATTGGGAGGAATCCCTGTGGAGGAAAGGCAAGAGGAAGAGTTAACCAGGGAACTCGTTATTGCTGGGTAGACACAAACAGAAAAAGGGGGCTCTTCCTTGCTGAAAACTCGATTCCAGAACCTGCTTCCTTTGCTAATGGAAGACTGGAGTTTAACTGTGGAGGTTTCTCAATTCATGGCCTCAGTATCTCAAGTGCTTCATTTCCAATGGGAAGTTTATAAACACGAGGGCTTCCCAGGGCAGATGAAGCAGCAGAGCAGTAAAACAGTATCAGCTCTCTTCAGCAGCACATGCTCCATTCTCCAAACAAACACTGGAGGCCAATCTCGCTGATAGGGTAACACAGATAAATGCTGCCTTATCTGCTTGCTACAGGTTTGCTTTTAAAAACAAAAGGAGAACTGAAAACTGCTGTTTCCCAGCACTACAAATCCCTCGGGATCAGCAAGACAATGGGGTAATTGTCTCCCTGAGCAGGCTGGAGTATCTGCCAAAGTGGATCCTACCGCAGTGTACACTGTACCAGGCTGACAGCTGGAGCTTGCTTCTTGCATTTCCTAATGCACCAGGGAGTACAGTGGAGAGCTGCTGTTCCCAGCTCCAGCAGCATTCCTTACCTCCATGAGAGCACAAGAAGGTGTGGTTGGTGATGGGACCAGGCTCAGCGAAGGTGTTGAATTTATTGAGCCACTCTCGGGAGATGTAGAACTGGAGTAAGCTGTGCTCCTTCATGCTGGCAAGGGACACGACTTTCTGACGCTCCCGCACAGCCTCTTCACTGCTCTTCCTTGAATAAGGAGAGGAAAAGAAAATGAAGCCATTCCTGAAAACCTGATGTTTGCAAAATCCATTTCTGGGTATCCTGTAGCCAGCAAGGACTGCTGCGTGCAGGGCAGAGCTCACCTGTAGAACAAGACGTAGGCTTCTGCATTCTGTACCACGGTCTCATGGACTTCAGTGACATACTGGTCATCAAACTCGTACCACTGGCCGTTGATCACATTCTGGCAGTAAGCTATGTAATGCCCACCTGGAACAGAGGAAGCACAGCACTGCTGGGATTCGGAGTGCACACAGCAGTCAGGCCTGGGCTAATGTCAGCAACACAAACAGAAGAAGCAGTTGGCAGAGAATGGAGAGAGGGACAAAGAAGGCCTAATTCCTGTTCAGCCAAGCTTTGAGGAGCAGCAGAGCCTGGCACTGTGTCACCCTGATCTGCCTTCCAAGGAAGGGCCTCAGGAAGGCTGAACATCAGGAAAGGGTTTGAGCCAACCCAGTGGTGAGGATGGAATAGCTGCAGGGGATCTGTCAGAAGCTGCTCAGTTCACTTTTCAAAGGGCAGAAGATGAGCAAGCCTGGGAATGGATGGAGCAGGCCTTACATTGTCCTGCATTCCAGAAGTGGTGTTGGCTCATCCTGGACCACACTTCTGCTTTGCTCACACTGATCTCATTCCTATTCACATCTGTCTGCGCTCACAGAAGAAGGACTTACTGCCTGCCGTGCCATGGTGACAGATGACTGACAGGAGATCGTAGGTGGTGATCTGGGAAACACACTCCTTGGCTAGGAAGGGTCGCAGATCCAGCCCTTCCAAGGGGAAGGAGACATGGCTGTTGATCTTGAAGGAATACATCACCTCGTGCCGGAACCGCTTCAAGTGGATGCAAAGAATCTAAAAGACCAAGGAGAGAGAACAGCAAAGCGTGGGTTTGAGGTGGGTATTCTGCTAAAACAGCACATCTCTGTCCAGCTGAACCTCACAGAAGTTCTTCACCTGGTGGCATGAATCCTGCTGCCCCATCAGCCTGGTCTACATACAGGACTTTGCCACCAAAGCAAACTGCCATTTCTGTTGCACCTGTTGCCTCACCCCCTCAGTGGCTGCTAACAGAAAATTGGGACACAAGGTGCTTTTTACTCACCTCTGGTAGCCTGAGGACTTTGCAGTACTTTACTCCATTCCGCAGCCTGAGGGAGGAAATGAGCTGTGAGAAACCTCTCAAGCAAAGGGATGCCAAAAGGTAAAGCTGAGTCTTGCTCGCTTTCGAATCCAAGACAAATCCTGAATTCCAGCAGCAGCCAACTCAGGCTCTTTGCAGCATCCTTCCCAAGTGAGGCATGGCATGAGCAGTTTCATATCCTTCTTTCTTTACTCCCCCACCCCACCAGCAAAGCCAGCACTTTTCCAGTCTGTGGTCAGTGACCTCTCAAGAGCAGAACTCTAGCATAAGGTAAGGCAGGTTTTACAAGCTGCCTCCAGGCAGAGAGCACAGCCAAATGTTTGACAGTAGCAGAGAGAAAGGAAGTTCTGGAAATACAGCATAATACAGATAATGCAAACTTACTTTTTACACCGTTCACAACTGTACATGTTGTCCCCTGTGGACAAAGAGGAGAAAGCCATTATGCAGTTACTCACAGCACACAATGCTGATATGCCTACATTTCCACCCAGGGCTGAGAAACCAAGTTAAGCAACCTCTTGGGAAGCCAAGAGAAGAGATCAAGATGAGAAGAGATGAAAACAAGAACACTCCTCTCAGTAAGTGAAGGCAAGAAGAGAATGCAGTCAACTAGTAGAAACACACAATTGCCCATGAGCACAAGTGAAAACAACAAAGTGTTTGAGTCCTCTGGATTTCCCATCCCTGAAAAGCCTCACTTCTGCTCAGAGATGCTGAACTGCCTGCTTTTGGTACCACCAGTCTCCAAGTGAAATACTGAGGCAGGATTTCCAGGGGCTTTACTCTGCCTGTGAAAGACTTGTTCTGTGCCAACTTCACTGAAGAAAACTCACCTTTCAACTCATCTGCTGCGAAAAAGGCAGCAAGGCAATCCTCCAGCGTCACAACGGGACCCCAGAACCAGCTAGGGATACAGGACACCACAAACCTGCAGAAGAGAGGGAATCAAGAGTTATACACAGGACAAGAGATCTGAAGGTGTGTGACAGAACTAGAGGAACAGTAGAAAATGGTTTACACGAATAGGCTAAAAACCCTGTGAGGTATCGCATATTATGCTCCAAAAACTGGTTATAATTGAGATGCTGCTGTAAAAGACACTTTATTTACAGCTGCCCTCCAGCACTTTAGAGCAAATCCCAGAAAAAAGAAGTCCTGCACAGGAACACACCTCCGGATATACTCCATGATGAAGGCAATCCAGCCTTGGGAGGCATAGTTGTCCCCACATGTCCCTGTTTTAGCTGGCACATTTTGGTAGATAGCAGAGTGCAACTTGGCCAAGTCCTCCTTCCCTGGGATTGGGAGTGACAGGTCCTGGAATGTCTCCACTGTCGTAGAAACCTGGAAATACCCAAAAGGAAGAAGTCTGTGTGTGTAATGGAGCTGAGACCTGACCTTCATCACCTTTTCTCACTGCTTGTTTAAGCTAGAAACCTGAGCTGGTACTAAGAGCAACTCACTCTGGCCACATACTCACTGCTGTTAGCAGGATGGCTTCTGTCATGGCTTTTGTAGCACTCAAATTAGTTCTCTAACATGAATGTGATTCTGCTAGGCCTACTCAGTAACAGCAAATAGACCTCTACAGAGAAATACAACCTCTTGGCATGGCAGGTTTCTCACACCTTTCCTGCCATCCACCTACCATCATTGTAGCAGGCCTACTGCATCCCTGAGTGTGTGCGAATAGGAGCACCACTTCCTAAGAAGAGATCTACAAGCAAGAAGACTGTGCTTTGTGACTGACAGCCACCAGGAGACTCACTCTGTCGCAGGTGAGGCACTGCACCAGGCTGAGAATGGAGCCATCAAAGATGTCTGAAATCACGCTGCGGTAGCGAAGTTCTTTCTTCTTTTTCCCAGAAGCCTGCATCTGAGCTGAAAGACAGACAAAGCAGCCCCATCATGAGCAACTCCTTCCCAGTCTCTTGCCTCAGCGGAGTCATGTAGCACAAGAACACAAGACAAGTGCTGTCCTGAGTGTTCAGACACCACTTGCATGCCACTGAAAGAGCAAAGCCCATTGTAAGCTGACATGAAGAACGTGAAGAACACTGCTGCTTCGTGTGGTACAAGAAAGGGGGAGGTAGCCAACTGAGCCAACACAAATGTGCCAGCTCTCAGGAGGCAGAAATTGTTTTACTGGAAATCCTGTTGCCATCCTTTTACAAGTTTAGAAGCCTGGCCCTGCTTTTCTGAGGTCTTGAAACATTTTGCTCTGAACTTTACACCTTACATCCTCTCCTCACTCACCTGCCTGTGTAATTTGCCCTGTGACATTTATCATGTGTTCCTCTCGTGTCTCACACTGGAGAGGACTCTCCACAGCAGGCAGTGGCCAAACACAACGTTTTGTTTAATAACAAACCCTCTTCCCCATGCACACGTGCATGAAGACAGAGTGCTTTTCATCTGACCAGAACATCTGTGGCTGCGCTGACCTCAGCCGAGGGGCTGGGACACAGCTGAAGAAAGAATGCCATCAGTGAACAGCTGTGGGGACAGTGGTATAAGCACATGTCATTGTGCTTAGACTATGCAATGCTGAGGGATTTCAATTTGTAATTTGCCTGGGATAAAGAGACCGATTTGATAACAACAGAAGCCAGGCTCTACTCTGAAGCCTAACAATGCTCCTAGCACTGGACTGACATCTGCAGCCTTAACTCTGTTATTGTGAGCCCAAGATGTCCAGGAGGCAAGACGCTTGCTCTCAATAACATCATCTTAATAGTTCTTTGGCCCACATGCTATAACACAAAGTGTGCCAGACAAACATTTACATGTCTCCACGCTCCCCTAAAGGGACAGAGCTTGTGCCTGGACTTCACAGCCATTTGATTCATAACAAACACAGCTTGCAGATGCAGACATGTAAATCATTTCAGCCTCCTATACAAGAGGATACTAGAACATCTGTTATACCTAGAGCTTGACTTTACCTGAAGGCTTACTGTAGTGTCTGTCTAGTATTATTTTAGAAAGCATTGATGTTCAGGGCAATCAGCACTTCTTACAACTGGTAATCAAGAATCATGATGGACTGCTTCTCTCTTCTGTAAATGAACCCCTCCTCCTCTGCATGCTCCCCCCTTTGCCTCCTAGCATACACTCCTTGCACTACCTTTCTTGAGGATGTAGGAAGGTCCAAGCCTGGCAGGACTGGAGCGAGGAGGACTGCTAGAGAGCTTGGAGTGCATTTCATGATGGACTGGACTGCAGGGACGTGAGGAGCAGCGCACGTAGGCATCGTTGTCAGGTTCTGTTGGGGAAAATGGGGAAGGAGAAGAGCACTGGTAAAAAACCCAGTTATGAAAGGCAACCCTATTGCAATCAGTGTCTGCCCGGCTGTGTTCCAGCACAGGATCCTTCCCAGTACACACAGTTCAGTGTCTATTAACTGTCCTGCTTTGACAGGTTGGCAGATTCAGCTCCCTCAGTGAACAGATACAAGTGCACACAGAGCTGTACTGAATACTTAATAATTGCATATAAAAAAAACCCAACCCACCATTTTTTCACACTTATGACTAATTAGGTTTTACAGCTTGCTCCTGTATCCATAATCCACATAAACAGCATTACAGTCTTCAGTGCCAGCTGGCAGAGTAAGACTCATATAAAAAAGTGCTGAAAGATCGACTATGTTCAGTTTGAGGTGACTCCACACCTACGTCTTTTAACTGCTGCTCTTTTCTTTCCCCCAGGACACAGAAATGCACAAGTTGTGCCTCTCCCTTTCCTTTTGACAAAGCCCTCAGCCCACCATTAACAGATAACCTTCTTCCATGCCTTTTCCACAGCTAACATTTCCCCAGGCCAGTCTATCAGATAAAGTAATATACACACACAAACCCTTTTCCTTAAATTAGGAAAGGATTGGCAGAGGCAGTTATCACAGTTATCACTGCCTTCAAGATGTTGTCTTTACTCAGCACTTTAGCCTAGCCAAGCACTTCTCTGGTTCACATATTCCATTTTCTTACAGAAGCAATTGTGCACAAAGGCAGAACTACTTCCAGGGACACTGAGGAAAATCTTGGAGGCAAAATCTCTTGAAACCCATAGAAGGAACAGTCAGTTGCATTATGTGCACTGCAACACTATCCTTGTATAGGGTGATGTCTTCTCACAGCTAACACAACTGGAAGAGGTGTATACCTGGTGTCCTACATGGGCTGGCAGGACGGGGAGCTGGCAGCATCTCAGGAGAGGCTCTGCCATCAACTGGCATCATAGTAGTATCAACATCTGCATCCTCATCCACCTGCTCTGAGTTGCTGCGCCGATGGCCACAGGAGAACTTTCTGTCTTTCATCCTCTCTTTCTCTGAGATCCCTCTGCCTGCTTCATCCTGGATCAACAACTCTGTCTCTGCCAGGGAGCTGCTGCCCATGCTCCCTGTGGTCCGACTCTGACCATCTCCTTCACCTCTGTCACTGCTTGAGTCACAAGAGAGGAACTCATCCTCCGAAGGACTTCGGTCACCCTCTCGCTTGTCGTCTTGGTCACTGGTATCCAAATCCCTCGCCTCTGCAACAATTGGCTCCTTCAGCTCTTCATGAAGCTGATCCATCAGGCACCGCAGGAACTCCTGAGTGTCCTGAAAATCAGGAGTAATGCCATGTTAGTATCCATCCAGAAATGGGAGGGGCAAAAGAGGAGACAGCTCAATTCACAGCCTCTTCAAATGCTGCCCATTGCCACCTGTGCAATACAAAGACACCCTGCTGAAGCAGAGGGAGTACCGTGGTGATGTACCAAGAAGCCTGTCTGCTACATAAATGTTTTTAATTCCTAAATTATAAAAGGCCCAAGTTTTATCTGAACATCTTCACCTGAAAGACACTGAAAAGGTGGAGAGCAGCAACAGCATGCAAACCATGAGCTTATTTCTTGGTGTTTATTACGGGTAAAGAGGCAAGAGGCAAGGAGAAACCTACTGAAGATATCAGGCCGCAGAGAACAGACTCCTACCCACAGAACATTTCATGACCGCTGACTTCAGCTCATGGCAACCCATCTCAACAGATTAAAATCTTTAATAAATAGGGAATAAAATCAGAAACCAAAGACTGTACAGTCTAGAGACAAGCTCCTACATTCATAATACATAGTAAAAGAATTGACATGTTGGCTTCAAAGGACCTGCTGGAAAGCAACTTGATATTCTGACACCTCCAGAAAGTTAATTACGATGCTTCTGTTATTTTATGGAAGTTTGGCTTTCAGCCTGCTCTTCCTTTCAACTTTCTCTCTTTGCAGCTGAGTTTTCCAGTCCAATGTACTTCACATCAAAGATAAATACAGTTCTTTCATTAATCATCATTTTTATCCTGTTTTGATGTCCTGCCAGTGCCACAGCTTAGATGTACTGTCACTTCTCTTGTAAATTTTATAATCATAGTTTGATGTTTACATTTTATTCTGAAGAATAAACACAAGAGAGATGCTGATAAAAACTTACAAGAAAAAAGGATACTATATTTAAATAAGATTTGGTTTGCTCTAAGATCCAGAAAAAGAAGATAGAACATTCATATATTTAATTTTTTAGAACAGATTCATCAAGGTTTCTCAGCTCTGAATGAATAATACCTAACTCCCATACAGGATGTACCAACAGATCTTAAAGCCCTCTATAAAGAAGCTGATCATCACAATTCCAGAGATGAGAAAGCTGACACAGGGAAATGCACTGATTTGGTATCAGCAAGCCCGAAGCAGAGCCTGGAGGAGAACCCAGATCTCCTAAATACCGACAGAGAATGGACATGACCCAAGCTCAACCTCTTCCTCCTGAACACAAGCATCGCTGCTGCAGGAAGAAAAATCCCACCACCTTTGGAATAATGGCATGGTTCTGAGGACCCACCTGCTGTGCATAGCCTCGGAACATGGGATTGACAAGTTTAATTCCATGGGATAGACTGCTTGGAACAACATAACTTGGACTGTTTAGATATGGAAAAGAGAAAGAAAAAAAGAAGTTAGTTTGATTATCAGGCCTGGAGCCATAGAACAGGGTGTGATAACTAGTTAAAGAGGACCTGCAAAACCTGGGCATGTATTTCTCTTTGAGCTGGATGACATACAAATGAAGAGAGAGAAAACATCCATACTCATTTCAGTCTGTCCTTCCAGACCCTTCTCTAGAGCATATTTAACTTAAAACTATGTCCTTTGTATCATCTCAAGTAATTCTTTCCAGAGCAGGGTTTTGCAATCAGTTACTTGGTTTGATTTGCAGCACTGCCTCTGTCTCAACATCTGGGTGGGTTGACCACCCAGTAAATGAGGTAAATCAAAACCAATATGAAAACGACATTGTATTGCTTCGAAATCTACAGCCTTCTCTTCCAGAAAGAGGCAGTTCGCTTTTGCTCTGTATCTTATCCCTTCTTAACAACTAACATGAAACAAACATGCAATGCCATTAAATTCCTTCCTTTTGTTTCAGTTGATTGCACAGAGCAGACATCTTCAGGTTTAAACAGAGCTGCAGTATTTTACAATGCCCTTTGAACTGGTCTAGAATTTGAACCAACAGAGAACATTTCCCCAAGCATCAATTTGTATCTTCCACTCTTCAGTAGAAATTCTTGTATAACTTTTTCTGTCCAAATCATCAATCCCTCAGCTAATCAAGAGCAGTGCAGCTAGGTCCTGGTCAGTCCATGCAAAATGGACTTTCTTTTGCTTAGAAATGAGCAAAGTATTCCCTTACTTTACCATGTTTTCTTCATTGCCAACAGGAAACTAACATAGCTATGAATCACAGAATTATAGAATACCTAGGGTTAAAAAGGACCTTAAGATCACCTAGTTTCACCCCCCTGCCTGTTCAGATGATTAAGTTAGGGAGTGACCACTCACCGTTTCTTATGCCAGACCTCAGACACCAGCTTTTGGTAACTTTTGCACAGTGCTGGTTTCTTATCCGTGCGGACCAGTCCACCACATTCCAGAAAGAACTGTGTGAGAGGTGGGCTACAAGAAAAAAAAGAGACTTCAGTGCACAGAAATTTCTCCTCTACTTCTATATAAGGTTTATCAAAACTTAAATGCATGCCTTTTGAAAGCATGCTTAAGATACTGCTTTTTAAATTCAAGGGATGAAGTGATTCTAGATGCAGACTGGACTTCTAACTTGAAACAAATGAAAAAGGCTGATCTGAGTCTGTTCCCAGTACAGGGAAGACATCCTGGAATTAGTTCTCAGCAGTATGGCTAGAGAATATTTGAGGATATGGGTGGTTAGGATGATAACACTGGGAAGAACAGAAATGTGACATGCCTTCCCATCTCTGTCCCAATGGAAATGATGGATTTTTACTTCAAGCACTCACCTAAACATGAGGCTTGTATGCAGCCACAGGCTGGCTATTCACTCACTTTGCTACTCTAAACCTTCTGCTGCCCTAAACACTAAATCTTTCTGCACGTAGCCTGCTGATTTCTCTTTGCAAGACTCATGAAGGTCTCAGATCAGAGATGCCACTTTTGATATTTAGTGAAGTCTAGTACAGAACCTACTGAAAGGCCCTAACGCCTACCAGTTAGAGAGAGCCTGAAGTGCTGCATTCATGTAGCAGGAGTTCCCAAGATTTTTCATTCCAGTAAGGCCTAAAGCACAAACAAGAGAGGCATGAAACACTTTCCAGACAAGCTGCTTTCTACATTCCTCCCCAAAGGAGAAGGAATTGAGCCCTTTCTAGGCAATCTTCACAGTATGCTCTTAGGAACCTCCCAGTGCAGGTCCTACAGATTGCAGTTACCCTCACAGCCCTTTTATCAACTTGATTCAGTTACCTCTTGGTTTCAAATCATCATCCTCCGATTCAGATTCACCTTCATCAGCCACTGCAATTGGAACAGCTTTCAGAGGATGAGCAGACAATGGTGATTCCTAGATTAAAGACACAAATAAGCATCATGAGAGGCTTGCCTGGAGAGATGAGTTGTGAGAGATACTATCCTCCACATAAATCAAGCCAGCCTTTAAATACAATGCACTCTGGAGAGAGAAGAACCAGTTGCACTGTCTGCCCTTCTCACTAATGCAAGAAGAGGGTGGAAATTGTACCATTACTGCTTCCAGTACAGATGATAACAGAAATATCAGGAATATGCAGCAGTGACACAAGTACATGTGTTTTTGGTCTAACAGCTAAAACTTCCATGGACCCTGCATTGAAAATGAAGATGTGACAGAAGACAGAAACAGGATGCCTCAAAGAAAAGACTGGGAAGGGTTAAAAAAAAAAGTGAAAACAGGTATCAAGTCATCTGAAAGTCTTCTTGATGGGAGATGCTACTATTGCTCCTCTGGCTACAAGTAGCCACTTTCAGCAAAAGAGTTCCTATCACAACAAAAGCCTCGACAACAGCAGAAAACACTTGGTTCACTTTGCAACAGGTAAATGAAAACCCTGCCAAGAGTTCAACCCTGCCATGCTGGGACAAACCCACCGGGTCAGTGAACTTTACTGGTGGTGACTGCGTGTGCGTTGCGAGCCGCTGGTCCAGGAACACCTCCTTCTCACAAGCATAACACCAGACACGGAACGTGGTCAGATTCACCGTCAGGTTGTGCTTTTTGGCCTACAAATTAAAAGGTGAAATAATGAATCTGGCTCAAGTTGAAGCACTGAACTACCAGATTAGGTAATGGGGAAAATCCAACTCTGTGTTAAGATGGACAATAGAGAAAACTCACCTGTGCATGAAGTGTGCTGTGATCAGCAAAGGATTCCCCACAGCCAACGTAAGGACAACCGATCTAGTGAGAGGAAAGAGCACAAGTACAATGGACACATCAAATTAGACCCTTCACAAAAACCTCTGCAACTCCAGTCTCACCAGCAGCTGCAGCTTCAGAATTGATCTTACCAATTTTCTAACCTGCTTTTTACTCAGGTCCTGGAATAAGACTAAAAACTGGAACTGTTTGATTTAAGAAAGAAAACCTAGAATGAGGTTTGCACCCACATAAAGGCTTCATACCAAGGCAACTGCTCCAATAGGCAGCTCATCTGAGCAGTCTCAAACTGTACATTCTACTGTAAAAATAAACTGCCCCTGCCCACCAGCATGTCCCTTGTCGTTCCTTTCCACCTCACTGCCCTGACCAACATCTGATGTCTCACACTTGCAGTCTCCCTTCACAGCTGCCAGCACAGGCAGGACCCAGCCAACAGGCAATGCTGGGCATTTTATTAATTCCTACTGAGACTACGAGAGGACAATGACCTCTGGGGAGTGAACTGTTACCTCTTGGCATATTTTGACAGTGTTAGTCTTTAATCTAGTGGGTCTTTTCCTTGGAAGCCATCAAAAACCAATGGATAGTTCTATTGCGACCCCCCTCTTTGCTTCCTGCTCTTTTTGTTTTCCAGTGTAAAGGATATTAAAGAGAAGTCTCACCATATCATGCACACAAACAGCAAGCCATTTTTACCTGAAGACAAGCCCAGAGATTTGGTCCCACGGCTCCACAAGACTGGCAAGTTCCCTGCATATTCATGATAAAAGAAGGTTTGTTTGCTTGTTTTCCTACAAGAGTGGGAAGACAGGCCTAGCCAACATGCAGCTCACAGGATTTCATTTCTTAATACATTTCCAATTAAATGTAACACTTTGCAGCATTTGAGCTAAGTGACACCTTGGAAGAGGATAAAGTGACAGTGAGAAATGGATCAGGTGGGGTCAATAAAGACTTAATTTATGGGATATCTGCAGGGTATATGAGCATTGGAAGAGAAGTTTCGACAGACAGCATTTTCTTACAAAAGCGAACATGCAAACCCATGCACAATAGCTAAAAGGGAAAGGACTGACAACCAGAATACCCTTTACCTTGGATTTGAGCAACAGATCATCCCTGGTCACCTCTCCTATGGAATCCAGGTGAGGACAGATGTCTCTTGTATCCCCCATTTTCACCAATGCTCGCTTGCAAGGGGGGTGTTTTCCTAAGACAAGAAAGGATAGTTCTTTTCAGATACAGGTTAGATTCTCTCTCACAGATTGTAAGAAGATAAATTAGCATGACTTGTGTATTAGATATTATGATATCCATCTTTGAAGTTCAGAGATCAAAACAAATCTAAATCTGGAACCAGTCATATTAGCCAGCACAGTTCCGACCCACTGCTTAGTGGCTGCATTGTGGTATCATAGATAACAGAGGAGAAGGAAACACATGAATAAAGCTCATAATCTGTAAAAGAAGGAATGTTCAGAGGTGCAGGGAGCTGCTCAGTACCCAGGCATAGCTTCAGCAGCACAGCTGTCAGGTAAACGGATGGATTTGCTGTAGCCTCAAAATGAAAGCAGCAGTATAGCAACCTACTGACCACCCTCTTAACCTTAAACTCCCAGACTGTCTGGATCACAAAGCATCTCTGAATGATGCAGAGTCCTACAGCAATAAATAAAAGCTCCTATTAACTCATACATGCTTTACATATATAAATGTATACACAGGTCAAAGGAGGTGATCCTGCCCCTCTGCTCTGCTCTTGTAAGACCTCACCTGGAGTCTTGTGTACAGTTCTGGTGTTCTCAGCGTAAAAAGGACATGGATCTGTTGGAACAAGTCCAGAGAAGGGCCACGAGGATGATCAGGGGCTGGAGCACCTCCCATATGAAGACAGGCTGAGAAAGTTGGGGCCGTTCAGCCTGGAGAAGAGAAGGCTGCATGGAGACCTCATAGCAGCCTTCCAGTATCTGAAGGGGGGCTATAGGGAAATTGGGGAGGGACTCTTCATTAGGGACTGTAGTGACAGGACAAGGGGTAATGGGTTAAAACTTAAACAGGGGAAGTTTAGACTGGATATAAGGAGGAAATTCTTTCCTGTGAGGGTGGTGAGGCACTGGAATGGGTTGCCCAGGGGGGTTGTGAATGCTCCATCCCTGGCAGTGTTCAAGGCCAGGTTGGACGAAGCCTTAGGTGAAATGGTTTAGTGTGAGGTGTCCCTGCCCACGGCAGGGGGGTTGGAACTGGATGATCTTAAGGTCCTTTCCAACCCTAACCATTCTATGATTCTATATGGACTATACCATGAATACTCCATGAACATGACTAGACTGATAAGCTACACTACCCCCCCAGAAACTGGGTGTGCTGAGCCAGCTCAGCAGGTGGGGTGGGAAAACCAACACAGAGATCTGAACAGACAGGCAGAGGGAAAAGAGATAAATCTAATGAGCTTGTTTGCATGAAATTCAGATTAAAAGGGAAAGGGTGCAGCAGCCCAAGACACACATATTTAGCCTATGATGTCTAAGGGCTTCATGCTACCCACACTGTGCTGATGTGAATCTAGCATTTAGTTATTACATTACTTTATCAAGTATTAAAAATATGATGACTGTTGTAAACAAAGCTGAGCAAGAGGGAATTAGATTTAAATGATCTGTAACACAACCAGTCTGCAGTCCCTAAGGAGTTTACCATTTGATAGGTAGGTTTTGAACTATGAGCCACACAACTCTCAAAGACCGTACAAAATGTACCAACTGAGAGGATTTCAGAGCTGCATGTTTATGAGCATGATAAACACTTTTGTGGTGGTTTGTAGGTAGGTAAGACTTTAAACATGTCTTGGTGAAAAAAAATATCCTCAAAAGAGTTTGTGTTTCTTAAGTGTAGTTTAAGTAACCTCACTCATGGCTGTTAACAAAAGCAGACAAGTGATACTAATAACACAGACCAGGCTCCAAAATATTACTTCTGGCTGGAAATGAAGCAGATACAAAAAGCCCACGTCATTACAAAAAAATAAGTGGAAAAATCTGACGAACTTGACATTAATGACTCCCGCAGCAAGGTTGCTACACTGTTGTTTTCCCGTTTTGAGGACATTTTAAAGAATTCCCAGTGAATCACTGGCAGTGAGGGGAAAGAAAAAATAAGAAAAGCAGAAATGAATAAGCCATACCAGTAACACTTATCTTGGGAGCTGAAAAGCTTGCCTAGCACCTTGCCTTGGCAGAAGACAAACCTCAAGATAAGTTTATGCCAATGTTTTCCCACCACTCTGGAATGGAATAAACTGAACTGAAAGCAAAACTGGAGGGGGAAGAAATAGTATTTGCATGCTAGAAAACACATTACTGGTTGTAACCAGGATCTCAATAACCTGTGAAAAGATGTTTAAACAAACAACGAGCAATTTCATGCAGCTTCACAGAGAAGTACCATGTTACACATGCTGATTTAAAAGACAAGTGACAGTAGCACGGTATCTTTGACTAACACATAAAACTGGGACACTTTCAGGCTCTGAGATCCTTCAAACTCAAACCCTCTTCCCAAATGCATCAGCTGGTCCAGTTAACAAAAGGAAAAAAAGGTATCAATGCCATGTTTGCTATTTCACCTTCTTTGATTTCTTACCCGTTTCCAAGAACAGGTTTCCTAGAAAACCTAATGGACAAATTATTGGTTTAAAATTAATCCCAGACCTCTTAATTGTCACCATCTTAAGCTAACTGGGAAGTGGGTCTGGAGCTCACGGTGTTCAATACAGTCTTGTGGATGGTTTTAGCTCATTCCATGGGACACCCCCCTCCACTTGAAATTAAACCCTTTAAACTCCCCAGCATTAGGATGCTGATCTTCCCACCCAGGGCTTCCCTTTCTGAACAAACCAAGGAAAACCTCCTTTTTGCTTCCCAGACCTGACTGGATGCATCAGAAAAGGTGTGAGTCATAACTGTTCAGAAAGAAGTATTTAATCCCTACCTTCCCACGACTGTGCCCTAAGAGCTTTAGGTGGCACATACAGCTCTAATGCTACTCAGGAAACTGGGAATTTCATAAAAGCACTGTCAACAGTTTATCTGTGCTTGTCAAAATGTACTGTGTATGATGGGAAAAGAAGTTACCTTAAAACAAGTCTTTCAGCCTGTCTTTCTCAAGCACCACTGTGGAAGAAACAGTACATGAACATGTCAGAACAATTCCACAGTAACTGCAACCTACTTTCAGTTGCTTAAACTGCTGCCAAACCCAGTGTCTACGTTAACACATTTCTTGGTTTTGGTGGTGGTGTGTTTTTTTTGCTTAGATCAACTGGGTTTGTACCAAAGCTAGAGCCAGCTGTCAAGAATCCGAGATACATGCAGCCTGATGCTCTGACGAATAACTTAGTATGAATGAAAGAAATCTCAGAACTCATCCAACAACTGACAGGCCTGCTCACTCATCTTGCATAACCTACCAAGACAAAGGAGTATCTGCAGTACTTCTTAATGACATTTTATACTTGAGATACTTCAGAAATAAATATTTACTCAGCTAACCTACTAACAAGGAAGAACCAGGAACTTCTGACTCTGCTGAACGTTTGAACTGCATCACGTATTGGAAATCAGAGTGGTTTATGTAGAACAGGCAAAGGGGGGCAGGTTTTAACACAGATTTTTTACTAGAGATCACAACATGACGGCACACTTAGAGATTTAGCTTTTAATAAACACCTTTGGGAACCCTTCCTTCGCTTTGCTACGTCATTCCTCAGCACAACAGACCCTAAAACACAAGTCTTCTAACAGACGCTACAGCTGTTAAGCGTGTGTGAAGTTCAGTATAAAGATGCCTGCACGCTAGATCTGGGTAGGACGAGTCACCGGCCGAGCCACCAGCCGCTCCGCAGGGTTCTGCTCCAACGGCCGCGGGGGCGCCGATGCCGCTGTCACCCCGGGGCAGCAACCACGCCCCAGGGGCTGCAGGCCCGCCCCGCTGTCCGGGCACCGCAGGACCTCAGGGGGGCCGGCCTACAGCCCCCTCGGCCGCTGCTGCTGCATCATCCCCGGCTCGGCGCGGCCGCCCTCCCCACAACACCACGTCCGAGGCGTGACAGGCCCCGAGGCCCACCGCCCCCCTGGCCCCTCTCACCTGCGGGATGCCAGGGGCGCCGCTGCCCCCGCCCCGCCTCGGAGCTGCGCTTCAGGCCGGATCACCGGGTAGGCCGCGCCCTGCGGCCCGATGCGGGGAAGGGCCGCGGCGCCCCGAGCAGTGCGGGGAGGCGGCGGCGGAGCGACGGGGGCCGCGCAGGGCGGGGGCGGAGCGGGGGCCGGGCCGCAGCGGGGCGGAGCGGGGCTGGGCGGGGAGGAGGTGGTGGCGGCGCTGCGCCTGCAGGTCCCAGGGGGCCGTCCCAGGGGCTCCACAAGTGGGGGGCCCGAAGGCGCATTTCCCTTCTGGCATCCCTGACAGACACCGGCGTGGCGGGGCTGCTCTGCCGGGATAAACAACAGAACGGCGGGACTTACACGGGAGCTCATCACGACAGATAACGGGAGGGCACGTGGGGAGCTCGGCCCGGCGGAGCGGAGCGGTCCCGGGACTGGTGGATCGTGCTGACCGCGGTGCTGGCGGATGGGCGGTGCTGCCCGGCTTCGTCGCGGGGCTTTAGCGTCATCGCGGCGAGACGTTGTTGTTGTGGGGTGCGGGCGGCTGTGTTTCGGCTGTGCCGCGGAGCCATGCCGGCCAAGAAGTCCTTCCGCCAGCGGAGGGGGGACTCCGAGGAGGAGGAGGAAGACGAGCAGGTCGCCGAGGAGGTCAGGTGGGTCAGCGGACAGCCCGGCTGGGCACGGCGGTGCTGGGGGCCGGCGGTGGTCCGGCTGTGTCTCGCCGTCACACGGTCACGAAGCGCTGTCGTGTTACAGCTTCACCGCATCGCCTCACACCGTTAGCTCGTCACGTCGCTGTGTCACTGCCTCCCAGGGCCCCTCTGGCCGGGAACTGGAGGGGGACCGGAGGTCTGCAACCGAGGGCCTCGGTCCGTCTCCTCCCTTCCCACAGGCCGGCGGGGGAACCGTTTGCGAGGGGCCAGCCCCGGAGCCCCCCAGAGCAGCCTCGGTCACTGGTGACAGACAGGCCCTCTGCTCCCGCTTGGCACCCGTCTGCTCGCTGGCATCACGCACCGCTGCTAGCGTTCACTTCTCCTCCCTCTGCCC